ACTTACTACCTCTTTCTATCAATTCAATGCTCAGCTTGTACAGGTTGCAATTTCAACTCTTATAGCATTGCAAATTGCTGTATAATTAATATATTATCAATATTTTTACTCAATTTCTTAGAAGAGTTTCTTCTAATGCACTCAACTTTAATGCAAATAATATTAGTCTAATTTATTCAACTGCAATTAGACATTCATTATCTCTATCTTCTGCCTCCACTATCTATATTTCTGACTCTTCTATATTAGAAATTTTTAAGCAAGAAGAAGCTACATATATACTCAAACAATATTCTCTTACCAATACAGCACAAAATATATTTAACTTCTATACTAATGGCTCTGTAATCGACATTAGTACAGATCAATATACAATGTGTATTGGATAAGTACAAGTTAATGATTTCAACCAAATAATTTACCAATTCTTAGCTAAAATCTATTTCTGGCCATCTTCTTACAAAGCTAAACTAATGTTAATTGTTTCAGCTATTTCAATTACTCCTTACAACTTAACAATCAATATCTTTACTAATTCTTAGTTTATAATTACTAAATATTCTAAAATATATACTACTCTCTCAAATCCCAACAAGCTTTTCAAATTCAGCTCATAGTCTATATAGCACATTTTGCTTAATATCATCAAATCTTATAATTACCAGATTAACTTTCACAAAGTACAGGCCTATATTGATAACACTCTTAACAATTTAGCAGACTTATTTGCAAAACAATATAATTTATTACTTATATTATATTTTAATTACACAAGCATTTACAATATATATCATATAACTTTTTGGAATCAATATTTTATCAAATATCCAACTAGAAGCTTTATCAAAAATATCTGTAGAGCCTACATTCTAGCAATGTAGTCCTTTTAAAAATGTAACATAGAATGAGAAGCTTTGGTTTCTCAAATTAACTGGAGATCAACTTGGTTATTTTTTAATTATAATCAAAAACCAACTCATAATGTCATTAACTTTAAACTCAACTACCTTAAATCATTCAAAATTAAAATCTTATTAAATGAACTTTTTAACCTACTTTCACTTTTACAAAACTTATCTATATACATTTTACAATACTAATTGCTTCAACTGTAATCTTGCCAACTTTTCAACCTATTGGCATATATGCTCAAATCTATCATTTATTTTTAATATTATCTAAACTAGCATATCTGAATATATTAGTTACACAGATCTTAATTTATCTATAAATTAACAAAAAGAACTTATTCACAAAATTAGTAACTACTATGCCTTTTACTTTATATCTCTTCAAACAAATCAATACTATCTTAATATTATACTTAAAGAACTTATTTCTAAATTTTTAATTGATATTATATAAAACTTTAACATTTTATACAAACTAGCCTCACAAATAATTATTGCTATCCTGCTTAAAGTTAATAAACTTTCTTACAAACAATTATAAAAACTATATTGTATAAACTTTGCTAACTAAAAACAACAACAAGGACTTAAACTACTCTATGCTAAACTCTCATCTCAATTAAATTAAAGCAACAAAGAAACTCTGATTGCAAAAATTATACTTATTCTTGTCTATGTGGACTATCTAACCAATTACATTTCAATTTTAATATCTGTCTACCTATTAGCTATGCTATCTGTAAAATTAACATCTAGACTATTCTTTGAATCAAATACAATATTTTTATAATCATATTCTAAACTTACAAATTTAAGTAAGTCTTGACTACTCTAGTAGGTTTAAGTCACAGATAAATATGTCTAAGCTTTTATTCTTGAATGTAGTTTTTCTTTTATTTATACTTAGAGTAGCTATATAGTTAGCAGTTTAATGGTCTAGCCCTGACTGCAAGTATTAGTTTTGCCATAGTATTTATATAGAAAATTACTTTTTGTACATAGTAGCTCCATGTAGCTTTTAACTTTTAAACTACTAATAAAGATATGAGCAAGGCCTTACTTTAATACCAAAAAAAAAAAAAAAGGAACAGATAGTTTATTTAAAAGAATTTTAACATAAAAGATTTTAAGAATAAAGTAATTTTTTATTAAATTTATTATATTTTTATACAAATTGTTTTGTTTTTTTTTTTTTAACTTTCAGCAATTATACTAATATTTTATTTAGGTGACTTTTAAAAACTACAAAAAAGTCTTTTAAGGATATACTCTTATTATTCTACTTTTAAATATTGACTTATCTAATTATTTCTTAGAGCACCTATATATAATCTGCTATAGTAGATATTATTTTAATACCTATTATTTTAAAATAATTAAACCTTTAAGGTATATCACTAAATGCTTTTACAGACTTGTCATAACTGCTAAATCTTTAAATCCTTCTTCTTCTAATTATCAAGTAAGAGAATTTTATAATTCTTGTCTAAAGAATAACAAAAAATATAAATAAAAAACTAAAAAAAAGAATAAAAAAAAGAAGGAACTAACTATAATACCTAAACATATGACAAAAAAGAAAAAAAATAAAACAAAAAAAAGAGAAAAGCAAAGAAAAAACAGAAAACATAAAGGTACTATTTTTACCTGTACTTGGTATTAAAAATTATTATAATACTAAATAAAAAATATCTCACATTTGCTTTATTTCTGTATTATAATATATTTCATTTATTATATGAGAAAAAAAGTTGATATTTTTGTTTTTCTTTTAAGATTAACACATATCATTTATTATAGATTATGTATGTAATATTGTGACTTCTTTATGATTATTATTACTAATTTGAAAAAATAAACAGTATCAATTCTTTAGAAAGAATATATCAGCTTTTCTATTTTTTGCTAAAAATTTTAAGAAAAAAATCTAATAGTAAGAGCTAAAGAGAGAACTAACTTGTAAAAGAGTTGTAACAGTTATATTATATAGAGTATTATATTAAACTGAATAACTATTTAGGCCTAAATTCTTATAATATTTGACAAAGCTCCAGAACTTATATACTATTTTTTTGCTTAATAGTATTTGAGTTTTATATCAGAAGACTTCACTTATAAGGGCTTGAGTCTTTTTTATTCTTTTTAGTTACAAACAATATGCAGTGAATAGTCTCTAATTCTAGTTATTCCAAAGTAGAGTTTTGTTATATATAATATAATAACTATATAGTTTTTATAGGTCAGACTTTTAGAAAACAGTTAGTATAAAGAATTATTAAAAAAAGTTGTATTTTAAAATTTTATATAAATTGTTTTATTATTTTTTAAATAATCTTTATTATAAAATAAATGTGATTTTTTTGGTTAGTAAATCTTTTACTTAACTTTTTTTTTAATATTTAATTTTTACTTAATAATTGCTTATTATTTTTTTCTAATTTATTAATTTTTTTTTAAAAAATTAAATTTAAAAAGAATATTTGAGATTCAAAATTAACAAAAAATTTTTTAAATAAATTTACTTAAATATCAAAATTAATTAAAGTATTTTTAAAAACTTGAAACTCAATGTTGTTATAAGAAAATTTCAATCTTTTTTTCTCTGATTCTTCTAAAGATAAAATTAAATTAATTTTTTTCTTTAATTAATCAATAAAAATTTTTTTAAAATAATTCAGTTATAATACTTTTTATATAAAAAATAATACCTCATAGAGTTAAGATATTAAGTTAATTCAGAAAAATACTTAGTCATTTCTGTTATTTTTTTTGTTGTTACAGTAGCAGATGCATTTCATTAATTCTCTGCTCTACATATCTCTATATGTTTTAATAAATTACTGTTTGTGTTTTTTAATAAAAAAAATAAAAAAACAAAACAAATCTTTGACTTTAAAGTTCAAATTCATAGTTGATCAATATACAAACTATATAAAATTTAAACTTTGAATTTGTAAAGTAGTAAAGATCCTTGAGAATTCTTAAAGTACATGCTTGAAAAAATATATATAGGTGAATCAATAGAAGAGACAAATCATTTTTAGTGAAATTTTTTAAATTTTTAAATTTAAATAACTCTACAACTATTTAATCAAATCTGCTAAAATTTTTTTTATTTTAATCTTGAAATTATATAGAACTAAAATAAAAAAAAATTTATCAAATTTAATAAAATAGTTGTTAAGATATTTAAGCTTAAAGTCAAGAAAACATTTACTTGAAAAAAATTTGTCCTTTTTCTATTGACTTTCCTCCATATATCAATAACTAGTTTCGATTCTTGTTATCTATTAGTTCGACAATGGCCTCACCGTTAATATTTTAAAAAAAAATGTATTAGTTCGACGAATTTTTTTATAATAAGACCACAGAGGATGATCTTAGACTATTCTAAGGAACGTCTAAAGCGGAGGCAACTCATATTTGATAGTTTTTGATTAACCTTAGGATTAGGGTCTCCTATACCAGGGGTAGTTTAGATTTTAAATGGTTATATATATGCAAACTTGTCTTCTCGACATTTTTAATTAACCTACCCAAGGCAGGTTTAGACTGCCGTTTTTTGTATTTTTCGGTGGTGATCATCAAAATTATATAATTTGATTGGGTGTTGATCACGTGACTTACCTCCGCTTTAGACAACACAAGTTTTGAATGGTTGCATAATTGAATATTTTAGCCAATAAAAGGAATTTTAACCATGCTGTTTTTATGTTACACCTGATCTTAATTCGAGTGAACAATTTTTTGCGGAAGAGCAATTGTTCATGATCTATTAGATCAGCTAAAATATTTCAGGTTCGTATTTTTTTTTCATATCACCTTTAGCTAACATATGGTGATGATATCTTTGGTAACCGGAAATAAAAAATGGTCACAATACTGCGCCTCGATGGAATCTTTAGAGTCGTCTTTATAAAAGACAACCTATTCTTAGTCTTGGCATTTTTTCTATCAAAAGGTTTTGTGACTGAAGACGAAAAATAGGCGAAACTGAAATTGTTTTTAAAATTGGTTCTTAAAGTTTACGAGATATAGATAGCTATAATTACTGTTATATACAATTTTATTCATTCGTTCGGTAGTACTATGGCGAAATCAAAGTATGAATATGTAAAAAAATTTGAAAAAAATGATTCTCTCCTTCCGAATACATGGCTGGTGATTCGTGTAGACGGTCGAGGCTTTCACAAGTATGATATATCAAATGTATTACCAGCGGCTTGTTCATGTTTTGTATTCAGTTTAATAAACACTTTCTTCTAAAAATAGATTTTCAGATAGACATGGATTTGTAAAGCCAAATGACCAAAAAGCTTTGGAACTTATGAATAAATGTGCAGAGAATGTCATGAATGAAATTGATGATATCGTCTTGGCATACGGTCAAAGTGACGAATATAGGTATCACAAAAATTTACTAATATACATAATATCTTATTTTTAAGTAACAAAAACGATAATAATAAGAAAAATAATGGTTTTTTTTACTTTCGATTCGATATGAAAGCTTTGTCCTTAAAAAGGAATGTAATTTATATGATCGACGCGAGGCGTAAGTAGTAGGCATTTCTGAATTATTTTGTAACGATGAGCTTTTTAATTAGATAAATAATAATAATGGACAAAATATATAGAAAGATTGTTTCCACTATCGTTAGCCTGTTCTCATCGAATTATGTATTTCATTGGAATAAGTATTTTCCCGACAAGGAATTATTATATCCTCCTTCATTCGATGGCCGTGTAGTCCAATATCCTGGCGATAATAATTTAAGAGACTATCTAAGCTGGCGACAAGCTGATTGTACGTCAAGTTTTTTTATCTGCTAAATCAAACAATTATTTATTTTGTCGTTTCTTATAGGTCATATCAATAACTTGTATAACACATGTTTTTGGGCCTTGGTTCATTCCGGGAAAACTGAAAACGAAGCTGAAATTATTCTGAGAGTAAACATTATGATAACAAACCTTATTATAGAACAGGATGAAGCCTGAGTTGCGAAATAGTGAAATCCGCTTTGTAGATCGGGTTATGGTGAAATCCGCGGTTTATTATGTTTTTTTTTTATTATATAATAAAAGCGGATTTCATCTTCGTGTGATGATAATTGTTGACTTCACTATTTCGCAATTCAGGGTCACCCTGTAGTATTATTATTACGATTTTGATAATTGTTCCAACTTTTTTGTTTGACAAAAAGGGTACGGTGTCTTCAGAAAAAAATGAGTTGCTATATTCGCAATTTAATATCAACTATAATAAATTACCAGAGATATATCGAAAAGGCTCGGTATTAATCAGACAGAAGGTATGTAATTTCAGGAAGTGACATTTACACGTAATTTTCAGGGCCTAAGTTATGAGTTATTCCAAGGGAAAACCTGACTTCACGCTTTTAAGTTCATTTACCAGACTCAGGCCTGACTAGCGATATTAGCGATCTTTGGGACCCTTCACAGCAAATGAAGGGGATGGACCAAAAACTTCTTTTTTTAAAAAAAAATTAATATCTTGAATTAGATCGATTAGAACAAAATAATTCTAAAATTAAAAAATATAATTTTTTGTCCCATCCCCTCGGGAGTCCCATATGTGATGCATAATCAAATTTTATGTATTATTAGTGCTGAATCTAGTTAATAAGAAAGGGTGTTACGATTTCGTGGTAATTCGCTATTCCACCACAGCATCATGTGACACAACAATAACCAAATTTAAATTCCGGCCATGATAGAAATAGTAAATTACTACAGTGAAAATGGGTGATCCTATAATAACTTGAAAGCCCGAAATTTTGTTTTCCCTTGTTACTCATATAATTAATTCCGTTATATTGCTTTCAATGTGATGAAAAGTAATTGAAATCGGCTTATAGAATGTAATTCCAAAATTACGCAATAAGTGTTACTTCTCTTGCTATTTTATTTTGATGTGTTTGCTTTCTTTCTAACTAAACTAAGTACATTTGTTAATGGAATGTAGGTAGAAATAAACACTATTAATCAAAAAGGTTTGGAGGTCATGCGTAAAAAAAATCTTGTTACAGTGTTACATGAAGATATAATAAGAGATGATTTTTGGAAGAATAATTTTAAAATTTAAAGGTAGAGTCCAATGTAGATTATTTTTCATATGATCTTGATGTTAAATTTTTTTATTTTTAATATTTTAAAAATTTTTATTAAGTTAATTATTTTAGATTTTTAAGTAAAGTTTGTAGAATGGCTTTTTCTGATTCTAATAATGATAAAATCATTAAAATTGATTAAATATTTAGTAAGAAATATGTATTTAAAGATTAGATATTGTTTTTTGTTATATGATAATTATGTGATCTAAACTAATCAAAATTACTGATTTTGTGTTACTACAGGAAATTTGAGATCATTACAGGAAACTTTATAATATATACAAGTATATTTTTTTTTAATATTTTGATTATTAAATTTTATATCATTGTAAAAAGTATGTTTTAATATATATATTATAGAATTTTAATAAAAAATCCAATATAATTATAAAAAGTTTTATTAGTAACATTTTTCAATTTTTTATGAAAATTTTAATCAGGCATGCAAATTATATAATAAAATGATTTATACAGATTTTACTCTTAAAATAAAATTCTTATTTGCAATATGAATATTAAAAAAAATTGATATTTATGTTTTTATTTTTATAAAAAAAATTATTTAACTAAGTATTATATAGTATAATTATAATACAAAACAATTATTTTGGTAGCAATAGATGAATAAAATAAAATAAAGCAATAAAATTTAAAATAAAATAAAATTTTTGTTAATAAAACAAAAAATTGTTAATTAAATTATATATATATATATTTTTTGCTTTCACTAAGGCTATAGTTATTAGCAACTATTGTCTTTATTGTATTTTAATTATAGTTATTGCACAGATCTTATGTAACAACCTGTGCTTTTTTCATTTACTTATTAGTACAAAATTGTACATTAGACACCATGCAATAAAATAGTTATTATACAGGTTATAAAATAACTAAATTTGCATGAAGTTACATGATCTTTGATCATGTAACATCAATTCATGCAAATTTAGTTATTTTTTACAACTCATACAATAACTATAACTTACATAATTAAGTCTACAATTAGTCATATGTACAACTTTTGGTTGTCTATTTTAAGTAGTTCACCTATGCAGCAAGTTCTATACTAGTTGCTATATCTGCAATCTACTAAAAGATTATCTATTTAAACATTCTGATTCCTATACTTATACTAACAAATAGCACAAGCTTCTGTATACTAATATGCCATCTAACCTAATTATAGTCTTTTTGTCTATACATCTGTCAAGCTGTTATATATTTCAGAGTACATTACCTGACTATAAAGCTCCAGAGGGTCTTCTGCTAACTAACAACCTATATTTAGTCTCTTGTTAACAAAGCATATCTTTGCAAAGTTCATTCAAACTCTAGCATCAACTTCATAGTATATCTTTAATACTTATAGTATACTACTGCTTCTGATCTCAGACTCCTAATTCAGATAGCTTAAAAGAACTATAACCTATTCCTAGTACCTTAGTATCTATCTTCAAGATCCTTTTCCTCTAGTTCAAGACTTTCAATAACCTGATTAGTAGTACTTCTCACTTAAGATTCTTGCCTGCCTGATTCCTTTCACATTGATATTCATTTTCAAGATCTAGTCTTTTTAGTAGTACTGTTAAAGATCTGTGCTATCTCTCTACTTAGAACTTTTCAAGTAGGCTCTAGCTTTTCAATTTACAGATTTATATAGTTATGAGAACTTATCTTAGATTGTACTATTTGATGCTGGTTTGCATTTCTCTATATAACTCCAATATAGTGCAAATGCCTTATGACCTACCAATTATACTGATGTAACTATGTTACAGACATCTTATCTCAACTGATCAACAGAATACTATTGCTATAATACTGTTTATCTTTTATAATATCAATATTATATAGATGGTTTTTTTAAATTTTTGCTGATAGTGAGTTTTGAACTTTTAATCTACCACTTGAAGGGTTAACAACTTATCCATTTCACTAAGTTACTATACTCTAACCAAATTATAATTAAATATTTAACATAGCAATAAATCAATAAATCAATAAAAATTAGAATAAAATATAATTTTTTATTAATATAACAAAAACATAATAACATTAAAAACAGACCTCTAAGGTCAATAGCATAGCAGTTATGCTCCAAGGTTATGAATTGCAAAGCTGCTAATTCAAATCCTAGTAACAGCAATTGTAAAGATGTATTTTCAAAAATAGGAAACTGTAACACTATAGGATTAGAGACTTAGAATGTTCAAGAATAGATTTATTTTCAAAAATGGCAAATGATCTGCAGTTAAGAAGTCACATGATGATGGACATAAGTTAAAGCCTGATTCAGAATAACTAAAGTTATAAGACATAATGTAAAGCTAAAAGTCTAACAATAAGAGATATTACATAAACTCATAATAATAGCCAGTTCTAAACTGCATTTAGCAAAACCTTCTGATTCTAGCAGAAATTGGTGTGATGAATTGCTTTTAAAAAGTTTAAAAACATGAACCAGAAGAGGTTGAGATCCAGTAACCAAAAACATTAAGAACATTGGTTCGAAAATATAGAACACAAGAACAATCTCAACAAGATCATTAAAGAAGAAAAAAAAAATAACATTAAAAACAATATAAAATTTTTTTTTTTTAATATTAATAATAAGGCCATGTTTCTATCTTTATTGAATATTTAATTGAGATTTATATAAAATACAATTTTGCTTTTAAAATATTATAAAAAGAATAAAAGCTTAGACTAATTTATTTGTAACCTAAACCAACCAGAGTAGTCAAGACTTATCTAGATTTGAATATTAGTAATTATATATAAGAGTAATATAAAGCTTTATATATTAATAATATTATAATTTAAAATATAAAATTTTTTTTTTATTTTTTTTTTTTTTTTTTATAATGCCAAATCGTAACCTATATTTTATTAGCTTTTTGCATTACTATTACATATATGA